GGGGGGGGGGGGGGGGGGGGGGGGGGGGGGAGGAATTGAAGTTTGAAATAAGTACCCATGCACATACTATGTCCAAAATTTGGACTCTTTTTAGTCTTATGCCCATACTATACATTTTAAAAAATAAAAGATCCAATATTTAGATACATACCCATACTCGATACCCATATCCGAGTCCGAGTATCATTGCTTAATACCTAGCTGACCTTGAAAGGAAAAACATACTAATCCTAAATATCCATATGATTAATTGTGGATACAAGACCACAATAAAAATATTTGAGTCTTCGATTTGGAGTAAGTAATAGATTTTGTAAATTCTTTCGGTATATCTTGACAAGTATGCATATTTATAAAAATTTAACATCTAACAAACCATCAATGGTGAATTTTATCCCTTCAGATGGTAAGGACATTCCATATGAATGCCTTGGACTCCTGCGCTTTGATTCAGCACAGAAATATTTCCGCGAGGTTCATCAATTTTGTCATTCTGCTTCAAGTTGTTTTCCATATGTTCTGTTGTCATGCCACAAAATTGGTAACCTGGATCTGTATCCTCTGTCATAGCATCACCATAGACCATCTCTTCGTACCCAAACTACCTTCAATAGTGTTTCGACAGATTCAAATGATGCTCTGCCAGACCTAATATTTTTATGCCTTGACAAGGAACGAGATTATGCTGCACCAGAGTTCTACTCAATTCCACTACTTGTGAAAAACCCTCAATCCACTGACTGTCTTGATGACTGTGCATGCCAATAAAGACTCGGTTCTCAATCCAAATTTCCAAAGGTGTATATCGTCATGATTTCAAAAGTTGGGATTCCAAGAGTTCCATTAATTAAACAAAGAATCTCCCCTAATTTATGTGATTCATGTGGCGAAAGCTTCAACAAGTAACACCTTTTAACAGTTCCCAATTGAAATTGACAAGTAATACCTTGAGTTACAGTAACATTCTCTTCAATTTCATTTTCTGAACTTTCCACTACTTTCATCTACTGACGACTTCTTAACCGCACATTCTTTTCTTTTTTAAAACTATATTTAGTAAGTGTCACTTTTAAACAACTTATTAATTTTAATTCCCCTGGAGACTTTCATTAAAATAAAACTTAGGAAGAGCTTATGGACACGGAACAAGAGACACTTTGAAGCTCTCTTCACCAGTTAACTGAATAATCTATTCTTCAGAGTCGATGTCAATATATGGAAAAAAAAAAAAAAAAATCAAACTGAGAATTCGCAAGTTTACATTTTTTACCCTTATTCAAACTAGATTTAAACACCAACACATTTAAACAATTTAACAGTTTGACATGGAAATTGCACGTGCCAGTACAATCAAGCAAGTTCAAGTAGAAAATTTTATAAATTTCCAAGGCAACATTAATGAAGTTCCTTACTTTCCAAAATGTATAGCACTATTTTATTCTTCCATATTAAAATCAAATTCTTTAAACATAAACATAGAAATGAAGAAGCTTGTGTTGAAGATGGATTTGTAAGGTGAAAAAGATTAGTGCATGTCCTTAAAGACACATGGCTCTTATTGAACATTTTTTTCGGGGGGAAGTCCATTGAAGAGGTAATGTTTTTTGCATGAAAATCGTACATGCTAGACAGTTGCATTCCATACACTTAAGCAAGTTCATGTAAAAAATATGATAAACTTCCAAGGCAACATTGATAAAGAAATTTCGTCTTCTCTGTTAAATATAGAAATATTGCATATAATATTTTTCATTGTATTTTTCCTTTGTATGATTAGGATTATTTACCTTAATAGTTGATTGTGCAATATTTCCCTTTTGGTTTATTTTCTTTTAGTGTTATTTGTAACCCTATAAATAGGCTCTTCTATATTGTAATATTCAAGAGCTTATATTGTAATATCTATACGAGCTTACATTGTATAATATCATTCTTATTTTTCTTAACATGGTATCAGAGCAATATTTTTCTTAATATAGTATCAAAGCAGGTTCGATCCTAGAGAAATCAACCCTTGAATTGCGTTCCTCAATCTGCAATTTTTCTGCAACAATTATATACACACAGAAAAGTAGTAGGCCGCCTGTTTTTATATATATTGACGCATAGAAATCACCCAGCAGCTTTGAAGAGAGACATTGAAAACGGCAGCAGCTAGGGAAAGGAGACAACATTGATAGCTGGGAAATAAATCACTACAGAGACACCGTGGAACATGGCATTAAAAATGTTGCCATACCAAAATCTGCTGAAAGTTTCTCCCATGTTGCACCATTTGATGAGGTCATCTGAGAAGGCTACTCCTCTACCATCATAATTTGGTTAATTTATTACTCAATCCTGACTCCAAAAGTCTTCTTTTCAAGCTATTTTTCTTGCTTTCGTAGACTGTGGAGATGGGAAGAATATAAAGTTTTATTCTTCTCATAATTCTTTTCTTCTTTTTCATGTTTTAATTTTTAAGAGTTGTTTAAAAAAAATGGTTTTTTTCCCTTTTCTTATGTTTAAAAAAAAAAAAAATTTGGAGGATCGGTACCTTGAATTTTACCGGCTCTTCCGTGCCTCTTAAACAAATTAGGGGTTTTCTTATGTTGAAAAAAAAAAAATTGGAGGGTCGGTACCTTAAATTTTACCGGCTCTTCCGTGCCCCTTAAAAAAACTAGGGGTTTTCTTATGTTGGAAGAAAAATAAAAAATTAGAGGGTCAGTACTCTTCTTGTACCCCTTAAACAAACTAGGGGTTTTCTTTTGTTCTTCCTGTACCTCTTAAACAAGCTAGAGGTTTTTTTATTTTTTATTTTATGTTTTAAAAAAAATGAAAAAAATTTGGAGGGTTGGTATCTTGAACTTTACCGGCACTCTCCCTGCATCTAAAACAACCTAGAGTTTTTTTTATTATTAAAAAAAAATGGTGTCCATCATATATTTTCTTCCAAGCAAACAAGAATGAAAAGACCTCAAGTGCTTGGAGTTCATCAATTTGGAAGATTTGATTGAATCGATTTCTTCAAACTCAATATTCTACACCATATTGAGTTTGAGAGGAGGGTGTCAAATATAGAAATATTGTATAGAATATTTTTCATTATATTTTTCCTTTTAGTGTAGTATTAGAATTAGGATTATTTACCTTAGTAGTTGATTGTGCAATATTTCCTTTTTGGTTTATTTCCTTTTAGTGTTATTTATAACCCTATAAATAGGGTCTTTTACATTGTAATATTCAAGAGCTTACATTGTAATATCCATACGAGCTTACATTTTATAATATCATTCTTATTTTTCTTAACATGATATCAGAGCAATATTTTTCTTAACATTCTCCCCTATGTACCATAAACAATGTAGCTGGAGCAAGAACATGAGTAGAACGCTTATTGCTCTAAAATCCTATATTTGTTCTTTATTGAGAATATCTGTCTTTTGCATAGACACTTAGAAAAATCTGTTGAGAGTACTTTCCAATCAAAGCTCAATGTAAATTCAAAAAGCTTTGAAATGAAACCATCAACTCAATATCAAGACGGGTGGTAGAGGATTTATAGGAATAGGAAGAAACAACTTTGATAGAAGATCAAGTGTAGAGGGCTCTTCCAAGAAATGTAATGTTAATTGGCCATCTTAAAAAAGATTGTTGGTTCAAAGGAAAACCTCAATGTTTCCATTGTAAAAGATTTGGTCATTTGCAAAAAGATTGTAGACCGAGAAATAACCTAAAAGCAAACTTCACAAAGGATAAAGAAGATGAAGGGAAACCTGAAGGAAATATGTTTTATGTAGGCCAACATGACTCTGAAAAGAAGAATGAGGTTTGGTTCCTAGGTAATGGATGTAGTAATTACATGACGCTGGAGAAAGACATTTTCCTAAACATGGATACTGCTTTCAATTTCAAAGTGAATTGGGCAATGGTGCTGTGGTAGAAATGAAATGGAAAGGCATTGCTGGTGTTAAAACAAAGAGAGGGAAAAAAACGTGATTGGTGATGTTCTCTTCATTCTTGAGCTGGACCAAAGCTTACTATGTGTTGGACAACTTCTGAATCATGGTTATACTCTTCTCGAAGGTAATGGTTATTAAATATATGATGCTGGAAGAAAGGAAAATGTTGTCGCTGAAGTAAAGATGGGATCTTATAGAAGCTTTTTACTTACATTGTGTACAAAATGGGATGTCAGCTTTCAGCTCCAGTTAGTTAGTTATTTAATATTCCAAGTAGTTAGTTTGTTAAATAGCTTGATGAGTTGTCATTTTTCTATTGGTTTAGCTGTATTTTCAGTTTTGCATCTTGTATATAAATAGTGTAAATTCAAAGGTTGAACGTGTGAGATACATATATGAATTTTCTCTCCTTCATGTTTTTCTCTCTGCCTTGATATTGTTTATGGTATCAGAGCAAAATCCAAAACAAAATATTTTAGCTAATCAGGTAATCTTGATAAGAAATGGCTAATGATGGATTGTCAGGAACAAGATCCATACCAGTACGTGTTACTGGAGAAGAAGGAACGGGAAGTGCTTCGAAGGAGACCTCTACTTACAACAATGGAGATCCTCTTTTCTTACAAGCATCTGACCATCCTGGAATGATGCTAGTCACAGTACCATTAACAGGACAGAATTTTCTTACCTGGAGCAAATCGATGAAGATTGCTCTAGAGGCGAAGGTAAAACTTGATTTCATTACTGGAGATTGCAGAAAACCTGAAAAAAATTCGACTGAATATGCTCAATGGAGAAGAGTAGACTGCATGGTGATCTCATGGATATTAAATTCAATGGCGAAAGAAATTGCAGAATCATTTCTCTATGCTGGATCTGCTAGAGAATTATGGAAGGAAATTGAAGAACATTATGGTGAGAGCAATGGTCCTATGATTTATCACATTCAACGTGCGATCAGCTCAATTCATCAAGGAAATCTGAGTATAATGCAATATTACTCAAAATTGAAGAAATTCTGGGATGAGTTGAATGCCCTAGATCTTGTACCACAATGTATATGTGAACAATGTAATTGTGGTGCGATCAAAAAATTGATTGATAGAGAAGCTTCAAACAAATTGATGCAATTTTTGATGGGGCTAAATGAGTCCTATGATAATTTGAAGAATCAGATCCTATCTATGGACCCATGGCCTACGGTGAATAGAGCCTATTCGATGATGATACAAGTGGAAAAACAAAGACAGGTACAGATGGTGTATTCAGAGGGCAGTGAAACTAATGCACTATTTACAAGGATGACACAAACAAACAGCAGAAGAGGAGGAACATCAATTAGAATTGGAACTGGAAGAGGAAATTTCAAGAGATCTGAGAACTGGAGAAAGGGAAAGGAAAATCAGTTTTGTAGTCACTGCAACAGATCTGGTCATGATAGAGAGAGTTGCTTCAAACTTAATGGATATCCGAATTGGTTCAAGGGGTTGAAGGATCAGAGACAGGGACAAGATATGAATAGAATTACAACTGTTAACTCAACAGAAACTCCTTTGGATGTGGATACAGAACAAGATGAAAGCAAGAGTAATGAAGTACAGAATAATCTATCCAACATGATCCAACAAGAATTGATGAAGTTAATGAAGGGAAGGTTGAATATGGGAGACAACCACATTAATTTTGCGAATCTGGAAGATTTTGCAGGTAAGATTCATGCCTTAACTCTTAAACTGAGCACAGCTGATTTATTTGATGATAACTTCTGGATAGTTGACACTGGCGCCTCCAACCATATGTGTAAAGAACTGAAATCATACCAGAAAACTAAGCCTACATCCATAAAACTTCCTGTCCACTTACCTGATGGTAGCATAAAATATGTTACAACATCAGGAGACATTCAGCTCCACCCAACTTTAACCATAAAAAATGTTCTATACTTGCCAAGCTTCAAATACAACTTACTATCTGTAAGTAAACTAGCCAAAATAAACAACATCAACTGTAATTTTTATGCATCTCACTGTCTGTTGCAGGACCAGAAGACTGAGAAAGTTATAGCTGTTGGTTGAATGATAGGCACCCTTTACATTCTTGATAAATCCAGTTTTTTCCCTGAACTTTTAGCTAAATGTAATAAAAGTTCTATTTCCTGTAATAGTTCCAGTACTTTTGATCCCTTTGTTAACAATATTGATGTGTCATCATGTGTAATGTGGCACAAAAGACTTGGCCACACATCTGCTACTGTTTTGAAACACATCAAAGCTTGTAATAATCATGATTTCTTTGACATCTCACCTTGTGATATCTGTGCTAAGTCCAAGCAACAACGTTTACCTTTTCCCTTGAGTGAATCTTGTTCCAATAAACCTTTTGATTTGTTACACATTGACTTGTGGGGTCCCTATAAACAGCCATCATTAACTGGTGCTCAATACATGGTAACCATTGTTGATGA